GGCTTGATACACCGACCGACGACACCTTTATGGGACAACTCACACACCCAACCATTCGTCTCGATACACCGAGTGAAGACACCTTCATGGGAGGCTTCGCATACTTTCCCGCTTGGGAGGGCATTCCAAGTGAGGATATTTCGAGCAGATTCTTTTATGCTCCCCCTCGACCCGATACACCGAACGAGTCTAACAAGGTCAACTTCACTCACCCACTTGGTCAGATGCACCAAGTGCATTCATGACCATGTTTCACCTCCATCCGCCCGGTCTGGTGTACCAAATGCCTTACTGACAACAAAAGCTATACTATTCGTTCCAGGAACGGAGAAGCAACACATCTACAAGTTCAACCGGTCGGTCGAGAGGGCCAACTAGATACAGCTCCACACAATGCCTACTCTCTAAGCTAAGTACTCGTTAACTCAGAGAATGTGGGGCAAATTGTTTGGGCCAAAAAATGTCCTCGGCCCAAATAGGCCCAAAAACGAAGACACCTTCAACAAAGCTGGAAGCTAGGGCCCAATTTCGATTAGGCCCACAACAAAGTTCTACATATGAGACCTGTTCGATAAGCCTTCCCAATTACTCACCATTTGGATCAATCAGTAGAGGCCCGATTCGTTTAGGCCTCGTTGCCAGCTTATTTGGACCTAGGCCTTCTGGTCCCAGAACACCTTCTGGACTTATGATCAACTTAGAGCCCATGGTCACCTATGTGCTCTAATACTATCTGAACTCTACTAAAGAGGTCAATCACTACCCTGATTCATCAAAGATCTATATCTTAGGCACGCTGGGATTCCCTTTCCTACTAAGGTAAGGGAACCAAAGGCTCTACTCTTTCACAAAGCCACAATTGCAAGGACTCCAAATCCCACCCGGATTCGAAGACTCTATAGTCACTATTTAAACAGAGGCCAGCCCTCTCACAAGGGACGTACACATTACACCTTCAGACCCCGAAGTTTCTACTCTTGAGAACTTTGTGTTACGACCGTAATTACAGTCTCCGACTAGACTTTCGGTAACCTTTTCTCTCCCTAACCTCACTAAATTAGCCTCACTCAGCCTTGCTGGCTTGAGCATCGGAGTGCCTACGGCAAACACCACCCCGATGTTTTTCGGCTGCTTCACGTTTGTTTTCTTGCGTGTGCAGATACAACAGATCGCTAGTGGCCTCAACCTCACGAGATCAGTCCCTACTTTCATAAATGTAGATTTTTGCATCTACAATTGGCGAAACCCGATTATAGTGAAACTTTAAGGAGGTTTCCTTGAAGAAGTGGATGTAGGAGGCTTGTGGATATAACTTTGAACCATTATAAACCCTTGAGCATTTCTCTCTCTCTCACCTCTTTATCATTCCTTGCATAGTTGTTTGTTGAACATCATTTATTTCACTTGTTCATGCATTTATTGTTCATATTTATTGCCTACAAGTTGGTTGCATTTATTGTTCTCTTTTGAGTTCATTTATTGCTCATTTGCATTAACTTTATCTCTATCATACTTTGGTTGTTGAGTTTAGTCATTGAACATTGTTTTGATAAACTCATCATTTGCCTTGACTTTTATTGATAAGTTTTATTTCGTGAATATTTTTATTGATTCCTATTCACCCCTCTCTAGAAATATTAGCCATATTTAGGGTTTAATAAGATGAATTTTCAAATTTTTTCTGACATTTGTTTTGGTGTGTCTGTGTGTGTTTGCAGTAGCATTTCCTTGAGAATGCAAAATTATCTGAAAACTACTTTATTGCCAATTGTGAAGAAATTTTGGTATATTTTTGTGTACTATTTTGTGCTTTTGGCAACTATAAATGTCATACTTTAAGGTTCTTGTATAATCTTTGCTTTCAATATGAATACTAATTATAGTTTTTGATATCAGAAAGTTGCTGCTGTTATCGATGAATTGTCCCTTGGTTTGCATGATAAATACCTTTTTTGTATCATGTAACAATCTTTATCTCCTAAAAGAAAATTGTTCTAAATAACAACTTATACTTGGCCTATGCTGTTTTACTTTGATGAAGAAACATTTATTTACTCCGAGAAAAAAAGTATTTACTGAAGTTTATTTTTGTGGCAAAGGAAAAAAAAAAATCATATCATAATTTTTTTTCTCCTTTTGATAGAACATTGTTTCTGTGTGAAACAATTCAAGCATTGGTTTTTTTGGAAATGGTATCTCCTTAGCTTGGTGCAGGATCTCCAGTGGCTAAAACGTGTTTATTATTATATTGTTACTATTATCACTACTGCTATTGTTAGTGTTCTTGATGTCATTTTTTTATCATTATTAATTTACTAACTAGTTGGGTGTCAGATTAATAAATTAATGTATGTGCTGTGTTATTATTATTTGTTTTTTTTATCTTTTTGCTTCTTTTCTTGGCTGTTGGTTGTTATTGTTGCATTGGTTTGGTTGACTAATGGAAGCAATATAGCTGGTGTGATATTAATTAGTTGTTGTTTCTTTTGGCTGTCTTTTTTGTGTTGTGTTGAATTGATTAATTTTTAATTTGGCTGCAGGTTATTGTAAATTCTGTTTCAGGTCATAACACAACTTGGAGATCCTCAACTTTTGTATCACGGGAAATAGCCTTATTACAGGAAGCAACCGTTTTACTAGCAATTTTACCATCTTGTTCTTGTATACAATATGAATTTTGCTTTATATATATGGTTCTAATGACATTTTGGTCTATGTATATTGAACAGTATTTTAAAACCCAGCCCGGCCCAGCCAGTTAAACCGGTTTAACTGGTACCCGAGAGCTTTACTAGGTTCGGTTAACAATTTCCTTATTCACCCAAAACCCTAGAATTTGAGATATTAATCGACGAACAATTGAAGGTCTAGATGTTAGGGTTTTGAGAGAAAGTGCCAGTGAGTGCAATGATGGCAATAGAGTTGATTTCTGGCGAGTGAATTGACCAGAAATTGAAAAAAACAGGTGGCAACAATAGCCGTCTTTTGCCAGTGATTGGCGATGCTAACGGGGGTGGGGTGAGGTGGGTATTTTTGGGGTGATGGAGAGGGTTGTTGACGCCAACGTCGGTGAGATCCGGCCTGGAATGTTGATGTTTGCGTCGGTGAGATCCGACCGATTTCGATCAGATCTTGGGTAGATTTGCCAGGAATGGGCTCAAGGGATGATTGGGATTGGGATTGCATTTGGGGTGTTGTCACCACCAACCAGTCGACCTTGATTTGTATTTGGGGTTTGTTCGCTAAATTTCAAACCTATAGGGACTTAACATAATTGAGGGTGTATTTGCTAAATTTTAAAATTTTTGTGACCTAGTTTGATCGGTCAGTTAAACTAGCGCTGTTTGTGGCATATCTCTCTTATCTTACAATATTTTCATTGATCGTAGCTAATTAGCGACAACAACTGAAGAAGCAAAAGAAGTAGCTGCTACTGCTTCGTGGTCTTCCTCTTTTTTTGAGTTTGCTCAAAAGGTAACTTGAGAGTAGAAAGACCTAGGATAGAGTACGACAGAATCAGTAGCTTTGAGCTTTCACATGTTTTAGCTCTTGTTCACAATCTAGTAGGTATTGAATCAGAATATCCTTCAATAACTCCAGGATTCCTTTGGTAGGGCATACATGACATACTAGGTGAGAAGTTCGATTAAGCCGCAAAGATAGATCGAGTTTACTTTACCCTCTTGATTGACTTTAGGACTGAAAGAAGCCGGTAGCAAAGGAAATGACAACAATGCTTTATATAACATAACTTCTTTTAGGTCTTTGTTGATCACTTCTGCTTAATTAAAGCACTTCTCTTTCTCGCTTTCTAGGTTTCGAAAGAGAATAGTCAGTTCTTGTGAATGACTTCGGGACTGATATTCTATTCTATGCATCCTATGCTTTACATAAAAGAAATTCTTGAATCTCAATCTAGATCCAGATGAACTTACCTATCTTCCGAATCGTTCCCTTATTCTATTCACCCAAGGTAATGGCTCTTTTCTTTTAGAACCTTTCAAGCATTCTTTCGTGAATCACTCTTAGCATGCTTACTCAGTCCATCTTCACTCTCAATCCAAAGGAATGAATTTACCTGGCTTCACCTCGGGTTAGTTATTAAAACATTGATATTGAATCCAAATTCTGACAATGTCAATAATGTTTTCCCCCAAATTTTTTTTACCCCTTTTTAAACTGCTAGTTTTAATTGCGCATTATTGAAGAAATTTGTATAGAATCACAAATTTCATTTGCTTTCTATTGAGTAAAATGCATTTTGTGCATTTTGATATTTGGGTTAAAATAGATAGAATTAATGTAATATAATTTTAGCTTAGTTTGCAACACTTGCAAGGAAAAAATGGTAATTGCACATGTCTTAAAATTTCAAATTCTCAAACGTTATTCATTACAAACATTAGGGACAAATTTGTCATTTAATTATTACATATTGTTGGGGATATAAAGGTAATTTTGTAATAAGAAGTGGGGTATACAGGTAATTGACTATATTAACTTCACATATAATAAAAATAAATAAATTTGTACTATTAGGGGCATTTTCATCTTTACAATAAATATCACTGTTTTTAATGGAAACTATTAATGAAATTATTGCTTTAGATGCTAAATTAATATTTTAAAAGTCTGAGAGTGGGAAAATGTCATTAAACCATTTTTCCGGTTGGCCAAAGTTGTTTACTCCAGATAATCCTAACAAAAGCAGAAAAAGGGAGAGAAACAATGCATCATCAAGTCAAAAAGTAAAGCAACCTAAATTAATCAAGTTCTTCGGTTTTGTTTTCTTTTGTGTTTTGCCTTTGCATTAATTTTTGAAAGCAAATACAGATTCTCAAGTACTAAATGTGAACTAAAAGTGAAGATGAATGGTGCCCTTTAGACCGCTTTGGCACCATCTAATCTACATCAGCATCACTATTATTTTTATACACATCCCTTCACTATTATCTATATCTACCTTCTAGTTACAAAAAAAAAAAAAAAAAAATGAAATACTAACTCAAAGTTTCCCTATATTTCTTGTACATGTCACTCTTGTAAAATTTCCGGGTCCTAATCACCAATATGAATGAAACTAGAGCTCCAAAGAATGTAACAGCTGCCAATATTATAAAAGGCATCCTATAACACTGAGTTCCAATGCATGTCAATTCGTTCACTTCTGATCTTTTAATCCCCTTCCTCGCGAGCTCTTTTAATGCTTGATTATCATAAAGCATCCCAGTGACCTTCACATTGAGTATATAAGAGCCAATAGGACTTGCCAATTGCCCACAATTGAACAATGTGGAGTAGTACTTTAGACCAAAGAGCTCAGAAATGATAGCGTAAAGCAATGGAAATTGAGCACCTAATGAGAATCCAATGATCACAGAAGCTACATACACTGACCCAGGGACTGGAAAGGCTATCAAGAGATGGCCAACGCATGATAACAAAAGGACTAGTGTCATCATCAATGGGCGCGGCGTTTTATACTTTGCAAGCAAACTTTCAGAGACAAATCCTGAAAAGACTCTTCCAAAGTAATTCCAAATGCTGACCAGAGATACAAAGGTCTTGATGGTTTTTTGTGGGTAGCCAAGTGATTCACCAATTTGACCCAAGTTGTCCACGGCTGTTAAACTTGATCCAAGTCCACCAAGCGTTGCAACAAATAAGATCAACATGTCAATGCTGAGAAGCGCTTGCAAGATTGTATAGTCTTCTCCCCTTGGTGGCTTATCAAAAATGGTGAGGAAACAAGATTTAGTATTTGGCTCCTCTTCCTTTTGTGGCTCTTTTTCAGATTGAGGAGATGATGGTTCTTTTTTCAGGTCAACTTCTGGTGGTTTTTCAATGGCTATCATTGTAGGAGGTTGTTTCTTTTCGTTCCAGAGGACTAACTCTTCTCTAATGGCAATAAAAAGAGGGACAAAAAGAAGGACACATGCCACAGTGGCACTTCCTGCATAGGCTGCTCTTGAAAATGACACTAGTTTTTGAACAATCGTCATGACCATGAGAAATAATGCTAAAACTATGGATGCATAAAGGAAATGGTAAAAGACTTGGACTTCATTCGGCTGCTGCCTGACAACCTTAACCGTCCGGATTGTGTACACAAACACCACAGACAGTGCAGCCGGGAGCCACCCAATAAGAAGAATAAGAGATTTTGAGTCATTACCATAAACGGCCAAGTAAATTTGTGTGAAGATAGCTCCACTAAGCCCAGTAAAACCCTTCAACAAACCCAACTTGATTCCTCTGCTTTCCGGGAAGTTCTTAACACAAGTGACAAGAGCTCCTGTGTTTGCAAAGTTCTGAGAATTGGCTCCCATGCAAATATAAAGACACATATGCCACACTCGAGGCTTGGGAATTCTAGCGGTGACAGCCAACCAGATCATGAAATAGCCTGTAAAATTCATGGCAGAACCAACAAGAAGTACAAACCATGTCGGTGTTACCTCGGCGAGTAGGCCGGAAAGCACCCCAACATTTCCTCCTAAGTCTTTGAAGAAGCCCAAAAGATTGAGTGTTGTTTGGTCATATCCAAGAGAAGCCTTTATCTCTTTGGAATAAGTACCAAAGAGATAAGTTGCACCAGCTCCAGCCATGATCAAAAACGAGGCAAATACTTGAAACCATCTTCCTCTGAGCAGATAAACCGTGAAACGGAACCATTCTGTACCTCCGCCTCCGCCTTCACCCATTATTTGCCTTCCAATGATTTGATTGGTGAAATGGAAGAGAAATGTGAGGGGAGAGGGGAAGAAGGGGGTGTTAGGTTTGAGGAATTGAATTGGAAGAGAAAATTACAGAAGAGAAACCACCACAATCTTAACTAACTGAAGAATGATTGTTGGTGTCAAGAACGGGGATATATCTATATATATATATATTATATATATTATTATATATAAATATATAATGTGCGGGTCACATCATATGATGCAGTAATATTTGCCGTGTGGGGAAGTGTGTAATTGGGTAGTCCAGTCGACCCTAGTAAAAGAATTATTCATTTTCTACATGAGTACAAAATGTAGCAATTTCTAAGATTGGGCTAAACGTTAATTATAATAATGATTAATATTTAGATGGGCCTTATATTGTCGTTCAGAGTTACTCAATACAATGTTATAATAATCAGGGTAGAAGATAGTGTCGGCTGGGTCTTTCACGGGTTTTAGGGTTTTTAACATTTTATGTTAGACTACATTAACCAAAATTAAAATTCATTAGGTCACTTTCCAACATTAGAAATTTAAAATAATTTATCCATGTAAATCATCATTCAGTGTATATTAGAAAGGAAGATACACTTTTACACCTTTGTAAAAACTACCGTTCTTTATAAAGAATTTAAGAATTAGAAATTTTGATACAAACATGTTTGTCTACAACTTTAATATTGATTTTATTCTAAAATTTATGTGTTGATTTTTTTGATAATATGATTGAATTAGGCTTATTGATGATTAATGCTGGTAGAATTCATGTATAATTTTCTTAAATTATCATCTCCACCACATCAACAGTTCAGAGATCGATTGAAACTTAGAACTGTCACTGAACTTTATCATTAACCTACTGACAAACGAAGAAACGCAACAGAATTAACTTCGACTGTAAGTGCCATGGCTAATTGTCTGGACAGCTTTGTTAGGCAGCTCATTAATCTCTGTCCGTGCCCTCGATTTTTGCAATGGGTCAAAGATTGGTCATTATTATCTATCTATAATAGAATTTTTTAATGGTCAAGAAGGTCATTATTTATCTCTCTATAATAAGTTTGCTTCGATATAGTGTATCGTCTGGGCAAGGCCAAGAACCAATATGGAAGAAGATTATATATTCGCAAGTGGAGATATTACAAATGGTGAAATATAATGTGCTGAAATAAGAAAATCAAAACTATTCCCTGTTACTGTGGGAAGAGTGAGTGATAGCTGTGCACAATGGAGACTGGAGAGTTGCAAGCCTGGGAATAATTTAACTGCCTAGATTGAGTATTGACTAAGTTTCACTCCATGGATTATCATTATTTTGTGACCCCTCTTTCGGGCCCAAAAATATATGGAGCATTATCATATGATCATTGTTGAGAGTTAATGATATTAACTTATTCCCACTTGATGTTAAGGACCGATATTCTTGATAAAGTGTGCACATTATTGTGGATTTCTAAGAACTCAACAGAATTGAAAAGGTATCTTTAACAATGAATTTATTTATTATTTATTATTTTTATTTTTTTGTACGAGCGGGTTTCAAACCAGCTTACGTGCAATTGTAACTGATCTTCTGAAACCTGAAATCATCGACTGGATAAGAACTTAAGCTATCCTTTAGTAATTGGAAAGATATTGAATAAGAACCTCTGATATACACACACGAGTCTATTGAACCACTCGATCACCCAAGGTAGTTGACAAGTATATCATTCAAATTGAAATTGATATACATGAATCAAATTTAGAATTTTATTAGGTGAGATCATTCCTACTGCAGATAAACATAATGATAGGAGAGATGAGGATGATGAGATGTAAATTATAGTGATTGCCAAATGTTATGCCTTAAAATATATGCTGATCATCCTCAACCAATCAGCTCTTAGCAGATTTCCACCAACAGTTCTTAGCATTATCTCAACCAACTAGGATTCAACAAGTGTATAAGACCAAGTATAATAGTTGCTGATTCTTAAACGACTCAGAAGATATTATGCGCAGCCACCGTCGAAATTTATTTAAATTAAGGATATAGATGAAAGCTCCAGTCGAATTCTTACCAATCAAGGCAACTTGCAAAAACACATTCTTGAGCTGAAAAGAATATAAATAGGCAGCTTCACTCCTCACAACGGATCATTATTATATTCACACACTTGTTTTACAGAAAAAATAGCAAAGACACATACTAGAAAGAGATGCTTATCATTCTCTAAGAACACCTTAAACACCTGTAACCTTGAGAGATCACTTGAGAGATTTCTTTTGTATCTTATTAGCTGATCACAAAAGAAACCATAATACAAACTAGTGGATGAGGACTTGCTCATAGCATCGAACCACTCTAAAACTCTCTTGCAACTTGTTATTTAGTACTAACTAACAAACATCACACTACCAAAACATCTCATAATAACTCACGTGTAACTTTTAGCACTTTGCCATGCGTAGTTGTGGTGGTCAAAATCACGCTCAACACCAACCATTCAAATCTAGCTCATGGATTAATATCAACATGTACAAGGGTCCTATTTTTGTGCAAAAGATTTAAGGAATGATTGCCCCTTTTCCCATTATTGAGTTGAGTGTGATAAATAGGATTGTGAGAATATATAGCAGACAAATGCACCAACCCTTAACTCACTCGTGATTCGAACATAGGGTTTCAAGTATACAATAAACTATTCTTAAATTGAGAGTTCGTAACCTCTTTTCTTACATAATCGAGTAACATTGTTTCCCACCTGAAAAAATGGTTTAACGTCAATTTTCACCTTACAGCATTCTAAAATATCAATTTAGTAACCAAAGCAATTCCATTAGTAATTATGTTTGGAGGAAGGAAGACAAGATGGTAAAAAGGCAGTGTGCAAGTGATCGAAGGAAGTCAACTCCAAAAATTTACATTGATATCAAAAATTTGAAATAAAATTTAGGAATCAGAGGGCTGCGGACGAAACACATGGTAGGGAAGTTGACTTTAGTTAGGAAAGGGAAACACGAAAGTCATTCGAATTTCGGTTTTTGAATCACTAAAGTCTGTGTTTTCATGTGCGAGTTTGCGATTCTTTGGGCGATTTTGGCAATTTTGGTTGCTGTTTTCGATGATGTTTAGTGTGACAGGACTACAGTAAAGTTGGACTAGGGTTGGCGAGTTGTGGAGTTTTGGGTTGGTGTAAAATGTTGTCACAAGGTTTTAGGGTTGTTGTCGTGGAGTTTTTTCGGTGATCCAGGAGCTTTGAAGTGATTTCAAACTCACGAGTGGACGTTGAGTCACAAGATTTGACTTTGTTCATCATTGAGGTTGTTTAAGAGAGGGTTAAGTTGCGACTTTTCCATTTGGAGGTAGTTGTCTGTTGTAGTTTAGTTAAGCATGGATAAAGAATGAATTGTATTGTGTTGTGTTTTACGAATGGGTTATGCAAGAAATCTGTTTTATTTTCGTATAGATAAGGTGTGATTCCACACGTTCTGTCGAAAATCTTTGAAAGTTCTATATATTGTAATCGAGTTTGTCAACAAAATATATGAACTTGTAGATTTGATAGTCCTTACATCACGACTAAGTTAACTTCTTTATTAAATCTACTAACTTTCCTTTGCTATGTGCTGGACTTTTCCTACCTTTATCATTTACATGTATCCGTTTACATCAAAAAGTGGCCTCCATGAAATATAGTAAGTTATTTATACTGTCTATATTTCTTTATATTGTGTATCTTTTGTTATCCATCTAGATATTTGTAATCCTTGTTGTCCTTGATTACTTTATTTACTTAAGCATTTAAGAATGATAGACATTGCAGGTGGGGTGGTGTACAGTGTGCCTGAGAGATCGCGGCAGTGATCTAAACTAAAGTTCTGACGACAAATGATCTGTCATGTTTTTTGCACTGTTGGGAAAATTATTAATGGTTATAGTGAACATGCATGTAATGCAAAAATAAAAAAAACAATAAGTTATAAGAACTCAATCCTTGCATGTAAGGAAAGTATAATATGGTAAGAAGGATCAAAGCTACTGTTTGCACTTTATGGCAATCAGACTAAAAATCTTTCTCATTGAGTGAGTGTTAGAGTCACATAATATAGCCAATTATGTAATATTCTCGTTCTATATTGTCCTATTTTATTGAACCTCTTATCTGCTCTGAATAGTAGACACTCTTATTGGAATTTCTGCATAATAGTATTGAACTTATGTCATTTCTTTACTGGTTAATAGTGGTCTAGTAGTGCGTCTAGGTGCGACTTTCATGGTCTGATTACCAAAACTATCCAAAATGTTGATTGAACACTAACCAAACATGCTCAAGGTATGAAACAAGTCCAACCAAACCAAAACAGGTATATTAGGTGGTGGATTGTGCAAAAGAATTTATTGGTACAATTGTGCGAAGCAAGGCACGACGTTCATAAGAGAAAGTTGCCCAAATGAACATGCAATTTTGCACGACACTTCCTTATGATGTTCACATTCTGCCAAGTTGAGTGGCAACTTGCACGACCTACATACAGACCAGCTTGCACCAATCGTGTGCTCAAGTAAAAAGTCAGATAATTCAAATTTAGAATGCTTTACGTCTGACTTTGTCTCAAAGGTCAAAAAATTCAAAGTTCAAAATTGGAACAATGTTCCTTATGGTGGAATGACCATCTATATAAAGAGTTTGCACGACATTGTTCCAAAATCTTAGCTTTCTAGATATTTAGTGGATTAGAAGAGCAACTAGTGTGACATATTTGCCTAGTGGAATGACTGTGCAGTGTTCTTGCATGATCATACAACATGGTGGACGACCATTCTGTTAACCTGATTTGAGGAAAATACGTTTCGCGATTATGGAATGACCGTTCCTTTGGGTTACAGACTTTTTAGAACTACATTAAATGTGCAAAGGAAAATTTTTTATGGTTATAAAGCTCAACGTTTTTAGGTAATATGAGAGAGAGAGTCAAAAATCAAAAAAAAAAAAAATTTCATATATACTTCCTAGGCTCAAGATCCAAA